AAAAATAAGAAAACACTGCACACGGTACGATATAGTAAGAGTATTTTTTCTTTTTCTAAATTTCAATACCGTTTGCATTTTTTCTCTCTTATATATATATATACATTATTTTTTTTTTTTACTTCTTTTCCCTTCTGATTTCTCGATTCTTGAATCAATGAAAAAATGTAAACACAATGATAAATACGTAAAATCGGTACAATCGATTCGTGAAAAACTTCGGTGACTTGAGTATGATTAAACAAAAAAAGGAAAAAAAAAAAAATTACAAAATTGTATTCTTATTTGAAAAACATACAATCCGATTATAATAAAAAAAGTCAGCCACCTCGTACGTACAAGAACTGCGTATACTTGCAACGCGCACGCTACTCTCCTTCGCCATTTTCTTTCGTAATTTTTTTGACAATTGTTAATCGCAATACCGTAAAAATAACGGTTCGTTAAAGTGCCACATATTCAGGAGATAAATACGTAACAAGACGTCAATCGTCAATGATCGCTGATATCTAAAACGTTCAAAAACGTTTGTCAATTATGATATGCGAGCGATACGAATTCAACGAATTTTATCCCTCTTTTTCGTTTTTCTCTTTCAATCTTTCTCTCTCGTATCTACTCTCGTTTATGCAGTCCTTTTTTTTTTTTCTTTTTTTTTTTAATTAAAAATTACAATTCGGCACCGCAAATACAAGATTTCAAGCCCAAGAGTGAAACCTTACCGGCGCCAAGTCATCCGTTAATTATAATACTACAAGTATTAATTGTATAATTATGTGTATATATATACATATATGTGCGAATGTGTGCATGTGTGTATATAGATAAACACATACGCACAAACATACATATATTTATGTATATATGTATAATATATATTCAGCATCACAGTAAGATAGCGCCCTTCATTATTTAAGTGATCCTCGATCTGTGTTTCGGACCTGTTTTATATTCATTCCAGTTAACAACATACATTACAACAATCCGTCTAAACATCATCGAATAATTTCTTTTCGCATCGATAATCGATGCAATTATTCTTCTTATTATAGTATTCGATTCGTATCGTGTTCATAAAAGTACACCTGTACACAGGGATAAGCATTGGAGAAATAAAATCGTAGAAAGGTACTGTGTGCTCGATAAAAGCGATTAATCAATGACTCCGCCTAGTATCACGCGTACGTACCAGCGTGTATCGATATTCTTTTGCAAAATACTGTCATCAAATTGAAGGGCAATAAAGCGATATAACATAGTAATTCGTAATTGAAGAAAACAAGCGCGGTAAAATTTGCCGAGGAAAAACAATTGACAACAGTCCTTCTCCTTCAGTTTCTGACACGCACGGAAACGAGTGACGCGTACTGTTCACTGCTGAAAAGAATACCGCGGAAGGAATGCGGTTTCTGATTGGTCAAAGTAGAAGGGGAACGCCTATTTTCACACAATTTTTATTTCTAGTATGTTTCTACTATTTATTAACATGGACATATATACTAATATTCCGATTAATAGGATAATTCTATTGATGAAATGCAATCTCTTCAATTTCATAATCGAAAATAATTATATCTTATTTGTACAATTCTTCTATTCACAATTTTTAAGGGAAATCTCTTGTAGTGTGCGATATTAGAAGACTAAACGCGTGGTCTCCAAGAACGTTAAGAGTGGGGATAGGCGAAGGACACCTCTTGCCTCCGTGCTGCCACGCGAGAGTTCTTTTCAGCGGTAAACAATACTTATTTCGGAAGAAAGAATTATTTGTACGTTGCCGCGAAAAACATGGAGGAACTTCGTACGTAACAAATACGTATCGTTTCCCATTTCGCGATCAAAACTTAATGAGTTATCGTAATTCATTCCATGATATACTGTGAAACACACCGTTACGAATTATAATGTCCAATATTGTGTACTACGTTTCGGTAGACTATCTATGTTTGATCTGTTCTATCTATCGAGTGGCGAAAGAATAATTCTAATAGTAGATACTTATAATTACTCTGAAAATAAATAGTTATAAAAATAAGCGAGCATTTTATGCTTAAAATACCTTAGGTAAAAACTTAATTAGTTTGCACCACGTACGGAGTGGAATGTGTGGTCTCTCTTACTAGATTGTAAAAGCGTACGTCTAACAGAAGGTTTAACTACCGTGTAAAAAACATTAACGACAACTTGTTAGTTGTAATAATTCGAAGTGCGACAGTTCGATAAAAACACGTGGGTCAATAAATAAGGGTGCAACAAGAGATTAGAAATAGGATAAAAGACGAGATCGAAACTGATCGATTCCGTCGATAATTGTCGTTATAGAATAGTCGTCATAGAATAAATAACTGTGCTGAGAATCTGATCTCCTCGCGAAGATACATTAGGTACATTAGGTTCGATTCGTCTTTCTATTTCCGCCCAACGACCATCTGGCCCCACATCCTCTTTCCTACTATCTCACCCTCCCCCCGACCCATATACATATACATATACTCACAGCTCTACGTACCGTGGAAGAGAAAAGACATTTTTTTACACGTAAATATATCTTCATCGCGAAAATACAAAACGCAAGCACTCACGATTTCGATATTTAACTTAAAATCGAGAAAATCTTTTTGTACTCTTCTATAAATTTTTTCGCATCTACTTTTCACTTACATCTAATGACGATAATACGTCCCAAGGATCACGCGAACGTATTTTCGTAAGGATTCGCGCGATAATCGAGCGTCGGAATCGTTCCGCACGAGAGATAGTTTAAACGGAAACAAATTCATCATCATATCATCCGCATATCCTAACAAATCCATGAATATGCGAGAATCTTGAATCAGAAATTCACTCAAAACCGAAGGAAACCGTGAGAAAAGATTGAGATTTCAACGATACATGGAATACATTTCAGTATATGCATTCGCACGTTACGGACCTTTTCCGACCTAAACGAATCCAGTGGCACTACTGCTGTTCAATATTTTACGATACCGAAACGTCGGTCGAAAATCTTATACTATTCGCGACGTGTCCTCTTTGGACGCTGACTAACTCCAACCTCATCGGTACCACGAGATTTTTTGCCAATTTGTACCTGGCTCTGTGCGGTTAATTGCAATGAAATCGCATGTGTGTTTAATTTCTCAGCCAGCAACAAGTCTTTTAAACCTTTCATCTTCTGACTGTATAACGTTATCCTTGGTCTTTCGTGTTCAGAATCAGTTTCATCCTCAGGATCAAGATTCTCCTGAGAAGTGGAAGGTGCGGGAGGCAAAGTACCATCTGACGGAGCAACGAACGGTTCTCCGCCACCTTGTAATAGATAATCTCTGTTAAGTATCTTTTCGCTACATGCTGCAGTCAATGCTTGAATACTAGGATGCATCGGTGCTGGATTAGACGGCACTTTTGATTCTAAACTTTTGATCAAATCGCGAGCTGCATTGCCTCTTTCTTTAGTCTTACAATAATTATTGTTATTATTGTTTAATGTCTCTTCTGGACTGGTCTCTCTCTTTTGTGATTTCTCCTCTTCCTGTTTCGCTTCTACATCGTAACACTCGATAATTACCTGAGCGCGAATACTGGCATCAAATTTTGAAATAGTGTTTACCAATGGTCGTGCCCATCCTATATGTAAAACGGGTGTGTTCGCTCCTTCCTCCCATTGACAAATACCATCGTAAAACCTCAACAAATAAGCGAAACAACGTGGTTGTCGTAACAAACGTTCGTCAGCTCGTACTGTATGCGGTATAAGTTCGTTCGCTATTTCTAATAACTCTTTGTATATTTCTCCATCATCTCTTGAATAATCATACCTATTGAATGTTAGAATTGGAATAATTTTTGATTACAAATTCTATAATTTAATTGAATTTATTTAAATTAATTTTTCGACTTACTTTCTTAAAACATCTGCTGCATCTGCCCATGATGATAATGCATTGGCATGTAATCCATGCCTATATAGATAACCACCTTGATAAGTATATGGATAAACATGAGCATTTCCATAATATTTTCTTGCCGAACGAATTGCTTCCTAAAAATGGATAAAAAATGTATTAAATCAAAACAAAAAAGTATAATATGAAAATATAGTTTCTAGATAAGATACCTGAAAGAGATCTATAGCAGGAGGCCTGCCCGGAGTTGGTGCTGCTTCTTCAAGATCTCCAAGGTTACCAAGAGCCATAGGATATTTAGCAAGGTGACCCAAATCGTACAACAACCATAATAATTCCTGTTGAAGTAATGCTACTTCAGCTGCATCTGAAGTTGCACTTAAACTAGGATTTATAGCAGATACTATAGTAGCAACTTCCATAGCTCTAGAACATACAACAGCTTGTCCATTCACATATAACCATGATCGAGAGGCTACTCCAGGTTCAACTGGTTGACCACGTTTATCCTCATTTCCTTTTCCTAATAATAATAAATAAAAATAAAATAATAAAATAAAATGGTAAAATTGATTTTATTTATTCAATATTAGATTTAAAATCTTTAAACTTACCATGCCAGGTAACTTCAGCAGTTTCAGTTCCATTTTCACCATAAACTACCCAAGCATGATCCTCAGACATAGCCAAATGTACATCTTTAAATCCCAACACTTGACAACCAGCAACCACTGCAAAGGCTACTCCGAAACAATCTAATTTATTTGATGTGAGGTAGCTGTAAAGACTTTGTAAGTGTGCGCGATCTTTGTAGTAGCTTCTGGTAAGAGAGTTCCAAATAACGTCTGATACTTTTTTAACGAGCTCTCGAGTTGCATATTTCGTATCATAAACCGTAAGATCAACTGCACCCTTAATCACTGCATGAAACTTGGTGTAAAGAGCTTCAGCAATGTGAAACTCAACGGCCGGTAATTTCGGTTCGTCATAAACAGTGGTCTCCTGCGACGCAAATGTTCGATTACAGGTTAGGGAATTTTCAACTGCGCCGACGAGAATTGAGAGCAAAGCCAAGTCCGGTTCTGAGCTATTTTGTAATTGATTTTGGAAGATTCGTACAATCGAGGAGATGCTCTGAATAGGAAATAGAGCCTTATCCTCGTCTCGAAAACCCGCCATGTCGCGACTGGCAGGCTGCACACACGAGATCGAGATCTTTGCTCAAACCACGAGTGTCATCCTGTTTCACATTTATCTTGACAGAAACTCTCGACGAAATCGCACGATCCGTTTTGTTTCCTTTTCTTTGACTAACGATGTACGCTAGTCAATGTTGATTTTTTTCTTCTCAATGCGAAACTTTTACATTTCCGCATCACAAAATGAATCACAACCGTGTATCATCTAGCGGCGCGCCGCCACTAGAACCGTTTACAATGATGCTTTCGTTCTACAGTTCGACAAAGCAAAAAGGCGAGTTTCTATGTGAACGATAACGACTGACGTGAATATAACGCGCGCGTTTTATGTTCTAGAATTTTCTAACATATCCATGCAAATATGTATTTATCTTTATATTTATAAGCTATTCAATATTATTTATCTTTAATTTTTTTATATTCCAATATCTATTTTTAAAATTAACATTTAAAAATTTTAAAATTATTAAAATTTATATGTTTTTATGATTTTAAAGATTTAAAATTTTTTACATAAGAATATTCAAATTTAATAGATATCATTTAATATATATATATAAAAAGAAAGAAAAATATTGATTCATATATAAATTTATAAATATATTATGATTACATATACAATTAAGGATTAATTTATATTAACATAATCAAAAGACACAAGATGGCGCAATAAGCAGAAATAGATATTCGCCTTCGTCAAGACATTTACATTTTCGCGTCATCTTTCATAGGTTAGAAACAGTTCTTCTTTAGTGATTTAAGAAACATCAGTATAAATTTTTTATAGTGTTTATCATACAATATAAGATTCATCGATCAAGGCTATCCATAATAAATCATTTAATCGTTATAGAAAATGAAAGTCACGATAAAAAGTGAGTATTGAAATTGGAATTTTCAAGTATACTTTATCATATATTTTATTATTTTTGTAATTATTGATAAATAGGAATATAAAATAGAGTTAATTTTTATATTTCTTTTTATTTTATCTTATTATTTATATTTAGTCATATATATTTAAATTACGAATTGTAATGTATAAAAGTTAATATTTGTAAATATTTTTTAAGGTTGGACTGGTGTTGCCACCTGGCGTTGGATAGCGAACGATGACAATTGTGGTATATGTAGAATGCCTTTTGATGCCAGTTGTCCTGATTGTAAAATTCCAGGAGATGATTGTCCTTTAGGTAAGTTAAATTTTTTTAATTATTCAATATTGAATCCAACATTTAAATAAGATCAATAAAGACTTTTCAAGCAATCAACAATATCAAAATATAAATGGATATTTATTGACTAAAAAATATCAGAAAATAAATGAATAAAATGATATATCAATTGATATATTATAATTATTTTTTACAATAAACAATGAAATTAATAAATAAAATTATTGTGAAAAAATAAGAAGTAAAAGAAATATGTATAAGTAACATTCATTCGATAGAGTCATGGAACAATTTGTAAAATGCCGCGACAGCGTTTGCGCAGTTGCAGACATAATTATCGATCGGTTTGCCGAATGAAACGGATTGCTCGCACACGACACCCCATGTTCTGACGCGCGCGTACTCGCGCGTGTCAATGTAAACTGAACAAAGTCGGGTTGCCGGTTATTAACGGGAGCATAAGGTGCGCGTGCCTAGTTAACTAACTGAAAAAGTTCATATACCATAAACACGTTCCAATATTGTTCCAGTCTGGGGCCAATGTTCACATTGCTTCCACATACACTGCATCATGAAGTGGTTGCATTCCCAACAAACCAGTCATCTCTGTCCGATGTGTCGTCAAGAATGGAAGTTCAAGGAGTAGCTGGTTTGCCGATAGTCCCGCAGGTGTCAGCACGCAACGAGTAATCAGGTAATGTGCATTGTGCGTTGCGTATACTGAGAAAATTTTGTTTGAAACAAACGGTTTTATCGATTCCTATTCGACGGAAACGTTAGTAGAATTCGCATTGTTTCTTGGCATCCTACATATATTCTTACATATTCTTTTCAACCTTTCTCTGTCTAATTAAATTTTATGTAATAAAATATGAAAGTGAGATAGGATTGCTTAAAAATAAATTTACGTCATATATATTTCCCTTGAGAAAATTTGCACGCACTCATTTCTATGACTTCACTTTTATTCTGAAAAGCTCATTTGAAACTACGTCTGACCTCGATCTTTCCGTTTGAATCGAAAGGTATTTTTTGTTTGCATTGCAAATATCGATCGACAAAATAGTTCGATGAAATCACTGTCAGGAAATTTTGAATGAAAAATATAACTAAAATATTTTGATATATATGATGTAGATTGCATTGAACTGTTTGTTGAACAGGTAACGGTGCATCTTATAATAAAGAGATTCTCGTATTGCGCACTTACGTAACAATATTTCACGAGCATTCATCGCAATGCGATATCGTCAAAGAAATTTTTTTCAGTTATATGATATTTCATACTTTGATCGCGCATCTTTAATGAATTTATTTATAACAAATAATGTTATTTAACGCCATTTAATCAATTCAAATGAAATTAAATATATCTTTGCGGGACATTTAGACAATCGAATTATACAACGAAATTTGATCGATAAATTTATCAATCTATTTTTTTCTTCATTGTGCAGCAAGCGCAAATTTATCAATAATTAACTCCTATGGGATATAATGTTACGATGCAAACGCGATGATTTGAACTCCTACCAAAAGAATTGAGGTGAAAGTAGAACAAGTAGCTTTTGTGTATGTCGGGAAACAGAGTGTGAACGAAATTCAAACGTATGTATTCGCGTAGTCATCGCATGGCGATGATTTTTTTAAATATATTTTGAATAAAATCATGATTTAAATCCATAATATTCAAGAATATTGTATCTATTTGTTTAGTTCAACATTTTAGACTAGAAAGGATGGTATTATCAAATATTTGCCTGCTATTTATCTTGAAATTTGCAACTAATCACCATTGACAAATTATTTTATAACAATTAGAAAAGTTTTAATTACTTCTTTTCCACTTATTTTTTCTCCATTTCACTACTAATCGCATCGTTTTCTTCTTTTTTTTTTTTTTAAATTCTGACACTTAATGTCAGCTTTAAACGAAGAAAAAAGAAAACATATATATATCTATGATATTTTCTTATGGTATTTTCAACGATCAGTAACGAAAATTTTACATATATATATACATATTGTTTTTTCTTAACATACCGCAGATCCCATTCATCGATTCACTTCGTTGCACTACTTTCTTTCTCTATCTTTGCTTTTTTTTTCGATACTCTGCAAAGGTGTATTTATCTCTCACAATTATTTGTTTCCTCCGCATTTCCTTCGTCCCATTCCGCGCTCTAACTATATATCGTTTTAGCTTATTCATCCTTTTTCCCCGTATCGTATACGTTTGCGCTCACATCTTTTCCTCCGTGTCTCTCTTACATGGCACGCGTAATTGTACACGTATACACACGCGTCGATCACTCTCGTCCTGCTTTTTACACTCCCTCTTTTACCTCTCTAACCCCTCGAATCCCATTGCCTGATTCCCCTACTCATAATTCCCTTCTCTTTCTATCATATACAGACATATACGAACGACGAGATCCATTCGCTTGTTTACGAATAGCGACAGATTCGAAGTACTTTAGATCTATCTATTATTCCGATCACTTTTGAACGATTTAGATGGCTAAAAACTCTTTTCAAAGAAAAAAAATTATTAAATCCAAACATAATCGATTTCGTTACATTCTTTACATAGTGTAACTCTATCGTTTCTTCTTTCTCGCGTAAATTTATGAGAATCGCGTTGATAGGTTCAAATCTGTCAGTCTCTCCAGCATGTCCTTTTGCCAACACACCAACACACTGGCGCGTACCATCGAACACACGTATACGCGATCGGGAGAGATAGGCACAAAGGTTCGGCGTAGCACGTCCACTGCCTACTCGAGAACTCGGGCTAGAGCTCGAGCTCTCGAGCCCAGTCACGTGGTTCCTCGAACACGAAGGATGTTTGTCGGGATCGCGAAGTCAGTTAGCTGTGGTCCGTTCAGCGGGCAACAGAGAGAGAAACGGATTATAGAACGTGCTATCGCTTGTGGACCATTCGACGAGCCATAGAGGGGAAAGAAGGGTTCAGGGGACATAACATAGGAGACGATAACGGATCGAGGATACCACGGACCGAGTTTCTTCAACCGAGTCCTCGCCGGTCTAACGTGTCACCTTCTCCTCGCCTCACCTCGTCTCACCTCACGAAGCCTCACCTAACCTCACTACACCTCGCCCCACTTCACCTCAACTCACCGCACTATACCTCACCTCGCCTCACCTCATCTCACCTAAGCTTACCCTACCTCGCTTCACCTCGCTTCACCTCACCTCACCTCGTCTCACCTCGCCTCCTCTCACTTCACCTCGTCCCACCTTGCCACAATTCGCCTCAACTCGCTTCAACACGACTCGCTTCACATCGCGGCAACGTTTCGCGCTTGTTTCGCGTTTAAATAATCGAGCGTCTTTGAAAATGTCGCGCGTTCCACGAATCGAACCAGTGTTATCCCGTGAAACTGTGAATCACGAAAACGCTCGTGTCATCGCATCGACGATTAACTGTTAAATTTTTATTGGTGTTTCTTTTCTTTTTTTTTTTCGTAGGAAACGTGCAGTTGTCGTTCGCACACATAAAAAAGAAAGAGGAAGAAAACGAGGAATGGAATAAAATTCGAAGGGGATAAATGATATAATTGAAACGAAAGAGAAACTACGAATAAACATCTATGCTGCATTGGCGCATCTGCCTTCATCGCGTATCGCGTCAATGTTGTTCGCGTGGCGAACATCAACATCCACGGAACGCAAAAACGTGACGCGGATCATTCGATGAGCAATTCAATTGTTTAATTTCAAATTACAACTTAATCGATCGGGATATAGAACAACAACTCCTCGTCTAATTCTCCTCGTTAATTATAACCTCTCGAATATATATATTCAACTTTTAATCACGAATCCCTTATCGTTTATCATATCAGATATGTATCAATCGTGAAATCGAAGATAATCGAGATTATCATTATCACGAACAACCTCGTTTCCGGGCTTGGGTATAAAATCGAAATGTTCGCGGAACGATGAGTACGTAGATGTAGAGAAAGAAAAAAGAGAGAAAAAGAGAGAGAGAGATAGGCGAATTTGAAGAGATCACGGGCAAAATGCAATTGGCAGCGACGCAGAGGCCTCACCCACCACCAGTGCCGCCACGACCCAGTCGGCAGGTGGTCGCAGAAGCCCTTAAAAGATCACCAAGGCCGCCCTGCCCGACCAGGCAGGCCCCACCACCGCCCAACACCAAACCGTGGAGGTCCGATCGAGATCGCAATCGGCAACAGGTGTGTCCCGCTCCTGTTGGACGCACGCTTGTTTACGAGTCTTCGATCAAAGAGTCGTCGCTTCCCAAAGAAACAACCAGCAACGAAAGCGGCGGCGATTGCGACCCGCCGCCGCCGCTCGACAAGAATCGCGAACCCGTTTCTCGAGCCGCGAGTGAAAGGCGCGCGGACGAGGACGACCGGCGTGGAAATCCGCGGGAAAGGCGGCGGGACCGTGTACCCGACCAGGAACATCGGCCAAATTCCACCGAGTCGAGCCCCAACACCGACGCCACCGCCGCCACTTCTTCCTCGTCTCCGCGAGAGAAAGAGGATCGCTCGAGCCCATGTCATTTCGCTCTGCTCGAGCGTGCGCCCTCGAAAGAACGCTCGTCCAACGGAACGGCCATCACTGGCGAGAGATCGCCGGTGAGCGAGAAACCGATAAGCAATACCGATAGAACGAGTGGGAACGAGAAGGAGAGAGTCGAGTCAGAGTCGAGTTCTCGCGCGAAGGAATCGACCGATTGCGACAACGATGCCAAAATTACTGGGATCGAGTCGCTCGTGTCGCTGGACGAGGTACAGTGTTGTCACGCTTCGCCCGACGTTTCGGATACGAAGAAAAACGGGGAAGGGGGGGCTAAGTTTTTCAGAGAGAAGCGAATGCTCGGAGAGAGGCAGAGCCGATGGCTCGACGCGACCCACGCCGACTCAGAGATCGTGCCTCGTGAAATACAGAGACGCGGCGAGGAAAAGCGCGGAAAGTTCCACCACGATCCAATCCTCGGTTTCGAACGTTGACCGTGCCACGGTGGTTGTTATCGACGAATCGGACCGTAAAGCCGCGTCGAACGATCATCCTGATCACTGCGACGACCACCATGTGAACCACAACAACAAGGACGCGGAGAATGAGAACGACAATGACAACAACATTCATCGACAAGATTGGTTGGAAGCCGGTGTTCACTATTCGTCCACGCAGATTAGATTGTCCGGGGAAGATGGCGACGTCATCGATGGAAATCGAGTCAATGGATTCGATCGTTGCGAAAACGAGAAATTCGGGGACTTTAATGTTCCAAGGTAGTTCACCGATTAATCATCGATGTAACGTAATCATAAAGCTGGAAGAAGTTTGATCGATCGATACTGACGTGTTGGTTAATCGTGTTGATATATCTTACTGTAAACAAACTTGATAATTGCTTATAAAACAAACAACTTGCAAAAGTTGATTTGTCCGTATACAATAATCCAGTGATTCGATTCATCAAGAGTTTCTCGATCTCCTTACACATTTTGCTTCGACGATTTGATTTGCGTGATAAAACGAGTGATAAAAAAAGGAACGTGCGAAATGGAATGGCAGAGTCGAATGTTCTTTGCCGTTTTTTTATTCTGCGCGCGATATCAGGGTATCGTCCTGTTTCTAATTTCCTTTACCTGCTAACCTACTTCGTCGCTTCGTTCGTGCGAAACGGTGATGTCGAAACGAATAACCAAATGCATAACAATCCTGTACACATACAGTCGAGAAAAAAACGGTTTGGCGAAATTGGCGAAGATCGTTGATAGATTTCGAATTAGTAGTAGAGACTAGTTTCAAGTGATAATAATTAAAATGGATTGATCGATCCTTGATCTTATTCCATTCTCAATTTCGTTGATTGAACGAAACTCTCGCCTTTTTCAGCATACAAGAAAGGATCGCTATGTCTTCCCTGCAAGGTCTACCACCATTACCAAGGAGTCTTAGTGGGTTCAATTTGAGCGGTGGACGAAGCGAGGGTTGCGAACCACCTCCGCCGCCCACTAGATCTTCCAGTAAAACGCAAAGAGGCGGTAAAACCCCGATCCAATCGTCGTCCAGGCCATCACCTCCTGCTAGACAGCTTACCACATTGGATACACAACTGGCTATACTCAGGAGAGAAATGGTGATTGCTTGTTGAAAATTTTTTGGCATCTTCTTCCTTTCTCTCTCTCTCTCTTTCTTTCTGTTCGTATCTGTTCGTTATCTAGAAAGAATAAAAGAATATGTCGAATATATATAAGTATTATATAATTGTCCACTGGAGGCCATTAGCTTGTATAAATGTTGTTAATCATCCGCGTTCTTCTCTACACGTCAACAGGAAAATTCCAGGGATATACAAGTCACGACGCAAGATTTCTATAAATGGCGGAAGGTCGAAACAATTAGAACGTCATAAGTCGCGTGTTAACGAAGAGTTGATTTCTGATGCAAACCATGGTTCGAATATTTTTCAGACATAATTAATCTTTCTGTCATCCCATTTATAATGTGAAATTTTATCTAATTCTATTTATATGTGTCAAACTCATTCGGTCGATTAGATCCGTTACCTTGAAATTAAATTGCGTGCGAATGCCATCATAAATCGCAATGAATACATATTCGAAGCGTAGGCTTCTCTTGCGAAACGAATATGGTTGTATGGTTCGTTTTTTTTCCTTTTTTATAAATTGATTTAACAAGTTGTTTCATCCACGCTGTAATTTTTATTTATTTACACGATGGCGTATGTATAATTCAATATTCGATACACGATATAAGATAAATATCGGTCCGAAACGGTTTGTTCGAAAGTTAGGCTAATAGTTTAATAGTTAATCCAGACACGAAGCGAACTGGCACAGCCGCTCCCACGCTGCATTCCCTCAGGCGTGACTCCCCTCTTCGCCTCCTTTTTCTGACCGCTCTCTTTCACCTTCGTTCCTTCCTACCTCTACTCTTGTTCTTCCTTCTTTTTCTTTACCTTCTTTCTTGGTACGCTGACACCTTTCATTCCCATTCTCATTTTGCACCTCTTATCTAATCCTTTCATTCTCACGGTTAGCACCACAAGAATTGCCATTGGTCTTGGAAATACATTTTTTCAATTCGTAAATTTTAAACTCTAATACTTTTCGTGATCCCGATCTTTCAATGGATCACAAATATTTTATTTATCGGCGAAACATATTTGTTTATACGTATATATAAATAAGCAATTGTTACTTTGATCATTCTATAAAAAAATCTGTAAACACATAATGGATATTCTTTTACAATTTGATCTTTTTTTTTTTTAGTTTGGTCTTCGACAATTGGATCTTTCTTTGCTCGCTCAACTTTGGTCATTAAACGAATCTATTCAAGAATTTCGACAACTTTTACAAGAACAAGAAGACAGAGCACCATCCCCTTCCCCTAGCAGTGAAGAAGGGGATGACACCTCTTATGGAACTCATCCTCCACCACCTCCAAGAAGACCAGCCCCTGGTGTACATTTACACAGACCGCCTAGGCCACCCAGACCGCCTAGACCACCCCCTAATGACGAATCGCCATCTAGCGAGGAATACGGAGCTGTTTGACGCGTACAGCTACAAATTATTCGCATTTTAATCCGTCTTTCTCGACTATTTGATTGTAAACTTTTACGCGTTATAGTAGGTAAAAAATCTTGTTTAAGAAATTAGTAGAAACTGAATCGGCGATTTGATAGCAACCGATACGGTCGCTTCTACCTGTACAAGTCCTAACGAAGTTATTAGAATACAATCTAATGCATCGTTATGATTGAAAAACTTATTGATGCTCGAAGGTACCTGTAATATTACGGAGACATCGGAAAAATTAACTATTCAAGAACTGTTTTTTCTAATTACATCATTTCATGTGTCTCTGCAAAATCATGCATCGCATAAATTTATGGAAGATTAACTATTAGGAACTATTAGGAAGCATATATCATTCGTTGACCCACGAATTTATCAATGTCAATCCAGAAGAACAACGATCCTCTTTCTCTTATTATATATACGTAGATATATTTCATATTAGATAAGGAAGAAGTTTATTGTCCTTGATGAGAACTATTTTCGTTCAACACGCTCTTTTTCTCTATTTGTGATAGCAGTCGAAGGGGCCTTTAATTAACTACGATAGACATTCGTTTGCGCTAATCGAGAATTATCTATGATCATTGATTGGAAGACATTACAAAAGATCCGAGCCTACGGGATAATAAAACGGCTAGTGAGATCCAAAGAACCGCATTCGAAAGTTCTTGTTTCTTCCATGTTTCTTCACTATTACGTCCATTACAGAATTTTTTTTTTCTTGTTAAAGTAAAACGCACTGATATGCCAGACGATAAGAATTTTCGAATTACGATACGACGTATAAAGATTTATGTAGATTAATTCGAGTGTGTAAAATAAAGCAAAGAACAAATGACGGAAAAACTCAATGTATTTTTAATACATCCTTATGACATCATAGACAAGTTATTTTAATAGAAATTCAGAATTAAAAAAAGAACGTTCAATATTGCAAAAGTAATAAAAAAAAAATATATATATATATATAGATTTAGAGAAATAACAAAAAAAATAGTACTTAAAAATGTTCAAACTTGTATACTATTACAACAAAATGAAATTATTAATGATACATATGTAAAAACATTTCAATAGTAGAAAAAGTAAGAATTGAGGATCAGCACCATCTCTTGAATATTTTTAAAGAGTTGATTCTTTGAAGAAAAGTCGACAGATGGTATTGACAATCAATTCTTATCTTATCTTTCTTTCACTATACTATCCTTGTCTATATTTACTATACTTTGTGCATAAAATTGTCGCGTGCACGCGATAAAGAGGTTATGTAAACGTTGTTTTGTGTGAAAATTCACTTTAAAACATGGTCAACAATAATCGGAACGATGAGAGAAGTAAGAAAAGAAAAAAAAAACGATCGTGTGCTCAAATGGCAAAAAAATTCGCACGACAAAGGAATCATGGATCTGACGTAGATCATGATACATATCAATATATGGTACGTATTCTGGAATTGATGAAGAGTGATTTTCCTACTGTGGAAGAGAAACTAATATTTGTAAATAATGTATACGAACAAACTATTGGACACGAAATTGAATATGCCCAAAATCAGGTGGGATCCAGAATATTGGATTCACTTTTGAAATACGCGAATTTGGAAACGATTCAAAGGTTAGTTACTACTTTCAATCCTTCTTTACGACTTCTCAGTAATGACAGATTTGCTAGTCACGTTTTACAAAAGATCGTAATGGTTTGTGCCGATAGAGGAAATAAAAGAATAGTTTTAGAATCTAATGCTGAACAAAATGTAGATGCTAATATAGAGGTTAAGGAGTCGGAAGTGGAATCTTATAACAGCATCGTGTTGAAGCTGAGTAAATATTTTATTAATAATATTGAGGAATTTGTGTACGATACATATGCGAATCATCTTTTGAGGACTGTTATCGAATGCCTTGGTGGCCTAATTGATAAGCCTGAATCTAATGATAAAAAAAAAGTGATATTTGATGTAAGACGACCAGTCATACAAGAGTATAAAGACTTATTATCCGCAACATGTAACAGATTATACAAATGGCCTTGCTTTTTAGAGTTTGGTAAGGATGAACTTACATCTGGATTATTGCAAAGTGCTTTATATTCTTTAAAGGATACGTTCCCAACTATGGTGGAAGAGTATGTAAAAAAGATTACAAACGAATGTTTTAAGCTTGGAGATGGTCAACTGTCAAATATTTTTAACACAGAAAGTTCAATCAGATTGCTAGAGGCTTGCTTATCAGTGGGAAATCCTAAATCTTTTAATGACATTTATGAAAGGTATTTTTCAGGCAATTTGAAGCAATTATCATTAACACAAAATACAAACTTCAGTGTACAAAGACTATTTGATCATTGTACAGTAAAGGAAAAGTTTGAACAAATATTTGAAGAGATTCGCGTGTATTTCTCCGAAATTCTTGAAAAAAGTTTCACAGGAATTTTAGTCAGTGTGGCGAATGCGTGTTTAAGATTGCAGGTCAAACAAGGTGCATTCGTAACTGAACTTTTAAGAACTCTTCATTGCGAAGTAAACGAGAAACAACATCTTATCGTGGCTTGCGTGGCAAGTTTAAAAACATCGGATCAATTAGAAAATATAAAAGAAAAGAAGGAAGATGATTCGAAATCTTTGATCAGTTTACACGGAAGTCTAATAATACAGGCTATACTCAATTTTAATAAACCTAT